TGGCCTGCTGTGTTCATCCAGCTCTACAACTTGTTATCTCAGATTCTCCAGCATCGGCAGTTCCTACTATCTCGTATGGTGGAACTGATCTTTTTGGTGGTAGGATCCTGAGCCATAGGACACTGATTTAAGGTCACTAGCAAATGAAGCAATGATGAGATGAGGAAATAATTGTTTCTGCAGTGAGTGATGAGGATCTGGAGTGTACTGCCTGACAGCGAGGTGAAGGGTAATTCAATCGATGCTTTCAAATGGCAATTAATTAATTATCTGGAGAGAAATAGGTACAGGCTACAGATAAAAGGAGTAAAAGTGGGAGGGAGCCATCACAAATTCAGTGGGCCAAGACACCTTCTCTTGTCCTGTCATGAATTTATGAATCTAACTTTGGTAGGAGTCCAAGAGGATCCAATGGTAAAGAGTAAGATGAAGCAATGCTTAGTCCTGGCTGATTCTGGGATTATCTGGTCAGCCTTGTAAGTAGTTGGAGCTCCACCAGCTCCCTACAAAGCCATTCATGGCAGGATATTCCCACTTCCAAAGGGTCCCACTTTGGGGGTTCAGCTGAGGGGAATGGCTCATAAAATGAGAAACAGGGCTCGAAATCTAACACAGGGAGAGTGAATGTGCCCCTGGAACCAATAAAATTGCACTGGATCATTCACTCACCTGAGCTCACTCAGAGAAAAGCCACCCCTATAAACAAAATGGGAGGAATTGGAAACATTGAATCATGCAATACAGAAGAGGCCTTTCAACCCATTAAGTATGTACCACAAAATCGGAGCGGAGCTGATCCCTCAGTCACAGAATGGTTCTCTCCCATACTTGCTGCCAGTAGCCTAGGCCTGGAGGAGTGGGTGTTGCCCCTTATTAAGGCCTGTCTACTTTTTAGCCAAGGCCAGGGCAGAAAGGCAAATGCCTTTTTGCTGAGGTGGCTGACTGCAAAGCCTGGGTGTGGGTGGGGGCGTGATTGTTGGAGAGAAGAAGATGGCTACAAATGTAGGGTATCGTGGGCAACACTTAGTAAGGCTACAGTTGTGATGAGGGAGTGACTGAAAAGTCTGTAAGAAACGGTGAGGGAAAATAGGGAGGCTGCAATCACTTTGGGAGTGAAAGAGTGAAGCTGCAAGAGAGGGTGAGAGAGTTAGAGTCATGGAATCATAGAGTAATACAGCACGGAAACAGAACCTTCAGTCCAATTCATCCATGCTGACCAGACAACCCAATCTTACCTCATCCTATTTGTCAGCATTTGGCTCATATCCGTCTAAGCCCTTCCTATTCATATACCCATCCAGATGCCTTTTAAATGTTGTAATTGCACCAGCCTCCACCACTCCCTCTGGCAGCTCGTTCCAAACACACACCACCCTCTGCGTGAAAAAGTTATCCCTCAGGTCTGTTTTAAATTTTTCCCCTCTCATCGTAAAACTATGTCCTCTAGTTTTGGACTCCCCCGACCTTGATTATTCAACCTTTCTATGCCCCTTATGATTTTATAAACCTCTACAAGGTTGCTGTTCAGTCTCTGATGCTCCAGCAAAAAAAGGGCTCCAGTCTAGTCAACCTCTCCCTGTAACTCAAACCATCCAACCCTGGCAATATCCTTATAAATCTTTTCTGCACCCTCTCAAGTTTAACAACATCCTTCCTATAGAAAGACAACCAGAGTTGTGCACCTTATTCTAAAAGTGGCCTCACTAATATTCTGCACAGCCACAACAATGACATCCCAACTCCTGATCAATGTCATGTTGTGACAGGCTGACTGCACAGAATGTGTGGAGGAAAGAGAGGGAGTTTGCAAGGAGTGAAAGTGAGGGATGCTGCTTGTGGCAGAAAGAGAGTGTACAAAGAAGAGAGATTGTTCTGAACCTGTCTTCAAAGGAATGCTCAGCTAACTGGGAACCAGTGAACATGACATCAATGAGATATTGAATCACTTGCAAATAAAAATGGAATCACAACCTTAAAACTGCAAACGCTCAGAAGCTACTACACAGGAAAACATGTTGTGGATACTGTTGTAATGAATACTGTGTCATTTGTTAAATTTGAATCTGAGATTGAGATCTGAGGTGCAGTGAAAGGATAGTAGCTGCATAGTTACAATACCTCAGCTTTGTGAATAGAATTATAGAATTCCTACAGTATGGAAGCAGGCCATTCGATTGATCGAGTCCACATTGATCCTCTGAAGAACAGCCCACCCAGACCCAATCCCTTACCACTGTAACCCTGCATTTCCCATGGCTGTTCCACCTATCCTGCACGTCCCTGAACGCTATGGGCAATTTAGCATGGCCAATCCACCAAACCTGCACATCTTTGGATTGTGGGAGGAAATCTGAGCATCTGAAAGAAACCCATGAAGACACGGGGAGAATATGTAAACTCCACACCCAGAATCACCTGAGGTGGGGTTGAACCTGGACCCTGCTGCGGAGAGGGAGTAGTGCTAATCACTGAGCCACTGTGCCACCCAATATGTAATGGAAACAAATTAACTGCAACCTCTCCTCTCTGCAAAGTGAGTTTAGAGTGGCCGCTTTTTGTCTGTAAACACATATATCAGTTATTTTGAAAAAAGACATTTGTTGCTAACTTATGCTTGTGTTATTATCTAATTTAAACACTGTAGTAGCTAGGAAATCAATGGATGGTGTGGCGGCTCAGTGGTTCACACTGCAGCCTCACAGCACTAGGGACCTGGCTTCACTTATAGCTTCAGGGGCAAAGAACAAAGAACAAAGAAAATTACAGCACAGGAATGGGCCCTTCGGCCCTCCAAGCACCGATCTAGATCCTCTATCTAAACCTGTCACCTATTTTCCAAGGATCTGTATCCCTCTGCTCCCTGCCCATTCATGTATCTGTCTAGATACATCTTAAGTGAGGTTTTGGAGTAGATCTGTAGCTCGGATTGTGGGTATTAAGGTTGGTTGGCTCGACGAGCTGGTTTGTTGTTTTGCAGACATTTCGTTACCATGCTTGGTAACATCTTGGTAACATGCTTGGCTGCACTGAGGATGTTACCAAGCCTGGTAACAAAATGTCTGCAAAACAACAAACCAGCTTGGTAAGCCAACCAACCTCAACATTTTAAATGACCCAACGTGCACGCCTCTACCACCTCCGCTGGCAATGCATTCCAGGCACCCACCACCCTCTGCATAAAGAACTTTCCACGCATATCTCCCTTAAACTTTTCCCCTCTTACCTTGAAATCGTGACCCCTAGTAATTGAGTCCCCCACTCTGGGAAAAAGCTTCTTGCTATCCACCCTGTCTATACCTCTCATGATTTTGTAGACCTCAATCAGGTCCCCCCTCAACTTCCGTCTTTCTAATGTAAATAATCCTAATCTACTCAACCTCTCTTCATAGCTAGTGCCCTCCATACCAGGCAACATCCTGGTGAACCTCCTCTGCACCCTCTCCAAAGCATCCACATCCTTTTGGTAATGTGGTGACCAGAACTGTGCGCAGTATTCCAAATGTGGTCGAACCAAAGTCCTATATAACTGTAACATGACCTGTCAACTCTTGTGATTGTCTGTGTGAAAGCTGCACATTCTCCCCATGTCTGTTGTGGGTTTCCTCCGGATGTTTGGGTTTCCTCCCTCAGTCCAAAGATGTATGGACTAGGTGGATTAGCCATGGGAAACGCAGGGCTACAGGGATATGATGGGGGTTGGGTCTGGGTAAGATGTTCTTCAGATATATACTTGATGGGCCAAATGGCCTGCTTCTACACTATAGGGTTTCTATGATTTTCTTGTAGATGTTAATGGAGGTTGTTAATTATGGAGAATATTGATGATTTTTTTTCTAATTCAGCTGCAGCTTGAGTCCAAATAACCCCTGTGTGAATATAAATACAGAATGACAAAAAAAAATCTGAAAACTGAAAGGTAGCACCAAAAACTTTAAAAGTGTTCCTTGAGAAAATCTTTGGGATGGGAGGGTCCGGGGTGGGGGATGGACAATTGGTAATGGTGATGGGGAATTAGGCACTGAGGAGAAAAGAATCAAAAAGTTTTGTTTTTGTTTAGAACTATTTGGTAATCTGACCTATACAAACAGGAGATGTTTGGGATCTTGGGACAACCAATGTCACAGGCTGGTTGTGTGCCCAGCCTTTAACAAATGCAGATAGAAGTTGGATTTTGTTGCTGCATAGACAGATACATGCCAGAGGCGCTCAACATAAGCCCCAGATATCCATGTGAAGCTTAGCTACCCGCTTGTCAATGACAACTTTGACAGTGTCAGGTAGACTACTGATTTTCAGGGCCTTTTTTCTACTCTTTCATAAATTCTGACATTTGATATCCTCTATTTCTTCCAGTTACCGCCAAGGTGTCACTCTAGATTTCTTGATTTTGAGATAATATTGTGCGATCTTCCTATAGATTGACAGTTGCATTATAGCAGGAGAAGCTGTTTTAAATTTCCGCAGATTAAATCACGTGATTCGTTGTTCCAAACCACTATGGCTATTGCTGAATAATGCTGTAGGTTTTAAAGGAGGGCAGAAGCACGGACTTTTGTTTCAGTTTCATATCTAATTTACAAAAGCATTATGAGTCTTGTGTAAACTGGCCATGACTTGTTGATTGGATGCAACTAATAGACTCTCGTTTAATTAAATCAAGTAATAATCAAGTAATCAACCACAAACAGAAACTTAAATGATTTATGGATATCATCTGTAGTTAAATTACTTGCTTGTAGTCGTTCTGTAGAATGTTTTCATTGTGTTTCACAGCCGTGACTGTCAATCTTTCATGCTAAGTGATTAGATCAGGATCATTTTCAGCAATAATTTAAACTACTAAGTAACTGAAGAGCACGGCTACAGATAATAAGCTCTCATTTATAATTACACTGGGTCAGTAATAAAGCTGTGACAAAAGCAAATCTTGCGTGGGTCTTGTGGTGCAGTGAATGTGCCCCTAGCTCTGATCCAGAAAAATGCATCAAGTCCCACCCTTCCTCGTGGAGTCTTGCAGCATGTCTAACCAGGTTGATTATAACATCTATTACAAAGCTTATGTTTTTTAAAAGGTGATAGTCGATCATTAAAGTCAGTTTATATAATCATGTCGGTTAGGATTTGCCAGATCAGAGTCGGGAGATTTGATTTGTCCCTCATGTGACCATTTAACAGGATTGTCAGTTATTTGATGTTGTATATAGAATCATGGTTAGTACTGTTGTGCCTTTGGCCTGAAGCTTCTAAGACTGTGGGAAAATGTGAGGAAATGCCAGTTAAAACCTAGGAAGTTAGAAAGATTCCGAACATAATATTATACTGAAAGAGCAAAGTTTTTCAATCAGTTACCAATAAATACTTTTGAAAAAGACAGTCTTTGGTCCCTGCCACAAATGCTGCATCCTAACCACTAACAACCCTCCTCCCAATCACTACCTCATGCTAATTCAGATTGTTGACTGTATCGTCTGATCTGCTTGATATCCAGCTGAGCTTCCAGCCCAAGATTCTCCATCCCAAAGACCTCCCTAACATTAGCCATCTTTTTGACTCTGCATTTACTTCAACCCATGCACCACTGACATGAAATACTCAAAACATGAATGGACACATCATCTGCCTGTAATTTTAATTTAACTGTGTTCCACTGGAACACAGACCGTTTTTATAGTTTCAGTCCTTTTCTGGTAAGGAGGACTGGGTAGACATTTTGCCTGTCCCAAAGCAGAATATTTGTAGGAACTCCTGGGTTGCTGTGAGAATTCTATCCAGCAAACTACTGAAGGCCTCCCATCTGAAAAAGACCTTTTCATATAGTGGAGGAAATTATTTCCCTTCGACTGCTTTTCAGTAGTTTGCCATTGATACCATTTTGATTATAGTTATGCGACTTTACTTGGCATAAGGAAGAATTAACATATTACAATATTTAAACAGCAGTTTATAAAGTAAAATTGAGAATAATGTGAACCATTCTCCATATCGCCTACTCACGTACAAGTACTCATGCACCTGCCTGGTGTCATCTACAGATCTTCTTCATGGAGAGGAAGCCAAGCCAAAAAGGTAAACCCCAAAACCCAGAAGTATTACAAAATTCATCCATACGTCCAGCCCCATAGCATCGGGCCTTACCGCACACAACACCTCCCTTCCCCTATCATCTTTGTCTTAGCACAAAGATTATCTGTTCCCATTGTTGGTTGCTTATCCATGCACCTTAAAGATAACAGAGGGCTAATTGTAATTAGAATCTGGGTTCAATAGCACCCTTTTCACCAATTCTAACAAAGGAGAAAACCTAAGACTACAGTGTAGAAAATTGAATGTTGAATTGCAATCAACCAAAGCTTAATACTGGAAAACAACAGGATGGGAATATATTTGATTATATTTTAACAAATAATAACAGTTCTTCGTTCAAATGCCCCAGAGTAGGGGACTCACAAGGGATAACAATGTGCACAGCTTCAAATCTCACAGTTCTTCCCTTTGTTAGTTTTTTAAATAACAAGAAACCTGTGGCTGTTAGTCATCTTGCACCTGCAGCCAATTAATCCTAGAGCAATTTATTTTTAAGGAGTAACTGTTACAATGATAATCCTAACAGCCATATCCATAGCCCCTTAACCCTTTGAAGCCCAATCTGTCTAAGTACTCTCTGGAATCTAAATTCTTACTATTAATCCACGATTTTAATGTGCATCTAGCTTGGCCAGATCCCAAGGATAGATTGCTCCAGATCACTGAATAGAACTTTATTTCAACTCAACCTGACACAGTCCAAAGTCAAGGAAACTTTCAGAGCAGATATTTTTTTCCTAACCCTGCATTGTCTGACAGGAGGGTCTACATTTTGGATGGATGCAGTTTTCATCCCATCCAAGCACCATCAGTACCACTTGGGCGGGAATTGAGCAAAACTAAATCCCAGTAATGGACAAGCTGCACAGAGATTGTCCCATTGGGTCTCACTAAATTCAAATCTTCAGGTTTGGAGATGATAAAATGTAACAGAATATTTACTGGAGGTATTGGAATCTGGTTAAAGAACAGGATCTCTCTAAAATTATACAAGGAGTAATTTAACTTCCTCCTCTCCAAGTCATTTGAGAATTCCTCATCTTTTGTACATCATTATCAATAATTCTAAACTGGTGCTGGCTTGTAAATAAATGGAATGAAATATTCATTTTGTTTAATTGATGTCTCCAGTCTATTTTATTTGAACCTACCAGTACCAAATACTTAAAATAGTGAGTGAGGTTTCTCTTTTCATTTCTTCCCTTCAGATATTTTTAAATGCTAAAACAATCCGATTGGGAAACATCCCCCAGGGCTCCAGCTCTTCACCCTCAGCCAGTCCTTTGAACCTCCGTCAGACTGTATACGAAGTGTGTGTGTGTCCCAATGGCAAACTCTTTCTATCTCCAGCAGCGACAGGGTCCACTTGCCAGTCGAACAGCAACGTCTGTTTGCGGATTTAAACCCGTGGACGCTATCATGATTCTACCACCGTAAAAGCCTTTCCAGTACTATCCCTTTGGCATCTGTTTTGACTCTCACGTTAAATCAGGAACTACAATGATGATACAAAGACTCTACTGCTGCATGGTAGGAGAATGTGGCTACGCTTCAAATGGGAATGGACCAGTCGGTGTATGAGCTGTCACTGAGGAGACATGCCTCTGCTAGGAGACCCTGGATACCAACCTTTACCAGAAAGAGGGAGAAATACACAGGTGCCTTTGCTAATCTAAGTAAAGCACATAGTTTTTTTATTGTTAGCAGGACCTGATTATGAAAGAATTGAATATTTAGTACCACAAATACAATAATAAATAATTTCTCAGAACTTTATTTCCCTTTCAAACATCTAAATGGACTTTGGTTTTACCATATAATAATAAACTGGAGTTCAAAAAAATTCCTTAGTAGCTTTGATTGAACATTTAAATATCATTTGGTATTTGCATGTCATTCATTTGGAAAGGAATGGATCAATTGTTCATTCTTGACTTATTTTTCAAAGGAATCATACCACCTCAAACTCTCCAGAACCTCTCATTAATGACGGTAAAAACATGGTTTTGTATTACTGTTTTTTTTTGTGTGATGTGGTATAAACCAAAGAATTGTCCATGTGATGTAATTTCAACCTGCACAATGCAGCTGCTACTAAATAGTAAGTCAGCATCAAGAGATTCTTAAGGATTTGTTAGAGGGATGAGCGAACATCCACTTCATAAATCGAGCAGAAAAACACCCACCTGGTCAAAAATCTAGCCAGTATATCCAGGGCCAGCCCCAATCAAGACCAAATGTCAAATGTTTAACTTGTTATTTTCTCCCCAACAAACTGAAAAATGTAGTGTTCCCTGAACCTAGCAAAGCTTGGTTTGGCCTGGCTCTAACGAACCACTTAATTTCTGCCTTGGATGTACACTCACCCCTAAAGGACATCACAAGTAATCTTTTATGTATTACACCAGGCCTGCTAGCCATTTTCCTTGCTTTCTTTACTGATCTCATTAAAGTACATTTTCTTTATGTATGAGAAATTTAATCTGAATGATAAAGGAAACTATTTTCTTACACATTCTATGCAAATGTTTGTAAAATTGCAATATTGCCAAAATGACAAAAGCTGTGCTTTTGTACCTTATGTCTCTTGCTTTATGTAAAATTAAAACATTTTTTCTACTTATAAGAAATGAGCTGTATGTCTTGTTAACTGTAGCTAAGGGTTATTAGTCCTCTTGTCAAACTTATTGTACCCTTATGGATTAAAAAGAACAGGTTTGAAAAGTTGTCAGCTAAATTATTTTTAACTTCCAAAGTAAAAACACAAAAGAGATTTGGCTACAGTTTTCTTCCAGCAAAAGCAGCTTTCTCCAAAACAAGATGGTGTTGGGAATCAACAGACCCATGGTCAACTAGGTCAGAGGTAGGCATTCTACTAACTGTGTTTGCGGAGGGGCCGACATCCGGTGATCATTGGCAAGCATTTAAAATGTTTCCCTTAATGTTCTTCTGCAACAAGCCAAGCAAAGCATAGATAAAACAATGAATTTTGATAAGAAGTACTTTCTCGGAAGATGTACTTTTGTATTCCTGAAAATGGGAATGTCTATCCCTCCACGCCGATAATAGTGAAACGAAAAAGAAGTAAAACAGTTCACAAATAGCTATTTAGGAATTCTTTAAGTTAGTAATTCTTATGCATGTGATTAAGCACAGATAAATTTCAAACTTAGTTTCATTCTGAACTTAAATGTACCATCCTCATTCACTTCCCTTCGAGACTCTGATCCAAAAACAATAGATGAAATTTTAATTTCCAGAAGTCAAGTGGGTTCAGGCCAGGTGGGACGATAAAATTAAATGTTAAAATCAGAATATCATCTAAAACCTGACACTTCCCATTCCAGTGGAAGCAGGATGGGTAGAGTGATGTGGAGGCAACCATTACGCTCCCAGGAGATAGAGTGGCAATTTAAATTTCATTATGAGGATACATGCCTCATATTTACTACTGTTTTAATTTTAACTCTGAGTGGTCCAATTCTCCAGGCCTTGAAGAAATCTGACAATTCGAGGGAATACTGGAATTCCAGCTGAAATGCTGGATACAGGAGTTGTAACTTTCCAGTTACCTGCTGAGTCCTGTTCATCTGCTCCACCCAACTTCAGAGCAGTCTTCCTATCTCCAAGGTCATATCTAGCCCAATGTTTTGTTCAAAATTCATTAGTACTAATCAAAACTTTAATAGTTTAGTAGGTTAGGTGATAATGGCTTGGTTACGCCTCATTAGCCTGGAATTACAATATAGTGGCAATTTATAAGGAGCCTGAGACACACAAACGGGAGTTATGACGAAACATATGTGCTGAACCAAACTTGCAAGGTCAGTTCATTAAACTGTTTCAATTAGGTACCAATTCAGATGTATGTAGACAGTCCGCCAGGGACTGATTTTATGTTTTAAATGATCAATCAGTTTCAAAGCTAATCTGGGAGGCATGATTTAATTCAGTAAAATGGAAGGTCCCAAATAAAAAAAGAGTCCAGCTAAATTTGAACATAAAGTTACAATATGGTCAATATAACCAATGAGGCGCTGGTTTTGGGTGCAGTTTCTGTATCATAAAATGTTGACACTGTTAATGATAAATGCAGAGATAACAAGGTGTAGAGCTGGATGAACACAGCAGGCCAAGCAGCATCAGAGGAGCAGGAAGGCTGACGTTTCAGGCCTAGACCCTTCATCAGAAATGGGGGAGGGGAAGGGGATTCTGAAATAAATAGGGAGAGAGGAGGAGGCGGAAAGAAGATGGATAGAGTAGAAGATAGGTGGAGAGGAGACAGACAGGTCAAAGAGGCGGGAATGGAGCCAGTAAAGGTGAGTGTAGGTGGGGAGTTCTCCACCTATCTTCTGCTCTATCCATCTTCTATCCGCCTCGCCCTCTCTCCCTATCTATTTCAGAAACCCCTTCCCCTCTCCCATTTCTGAAGAAGGGTCTAGGCCCGAAACATCAGCCTTCCTGCTCCTCTGATGCTGCTTGGCCTGCTGTGTTTATCCAGCCCTGCACCTTGTTATCTCAGATTCTCCAGCATCTGCAGTTCCTACTATCAATGATAAATGCAGCTGGACTTTGAAATCTACTAATCATAAAACATCTATATCATCAAACTAACTTATAAAACATACTTTGGCCATCTTAAATAATATCTCTTTTTTAACATTGCATTACACATTCGGAAGCAAGTTCCATTCAGAACCTACGCATCACAACTTTTCAAACCTGGCATTTAATTCCATAAGTTTATTACTGGGTATTTTTGTGTTTTGGTACTTGACTTTGTGACTATGCATATATACATTTCAGGGTGAAATAATTTGAAATGAGTGAGGCTTTTTCTTAAAGATACTGATAATCCATTACGGTTTTATTGGTCTCCTGCTATGATTGCTGAAACTCATCAGGATATGGCAGGGAATATAATAGGGCGGCACAGTGGCTCAGTGGTTAGCACTGCTGCCTCACAGTACCAGGGCCCTGGTTTTGATCTCAGCCTTGGGTGACTGTCTGTGTGGAGTTTGCACGTTTTCCCTGTGTCTGAGTGGTTTCCATTGGGTGCTCTGGTTTCCTTCCACAGTCCAAAGATGTGCAGGTTCAGTGAATTGGCCATGCTAAATTGTCCCTGTTGTGTCCAGAGATATGCAGGCTAGGTGGATTACCCATGGGAAATGTGAGATTACAGGAGTAGGGTGGGTGATTGGTTTGACTGGCATGTTCTTAGGAGCTTTGATGCAGACTCGATGGGCTGAATGGCCTCTTTCTGCACTGTAGGGATTCTTCACTACACTAGGACATCTCTATTTCCAGACTTTTCACACAATTTTTGTGAGAGACAGAGACAAACATCACTGGAGGGTGGGGTAATGGTGGTGGCCAAGCAAGAAGCAGAGATTTCGTCCACCAGGAATTTGAACTTCTAAGCCTCAGAGGTCCTGGTTTCCGCTGGAGGCTGGCACAATGAGAAGGGAAAGGAAGTGGTCACCAGAAAGATGCAAGTGGACTCCACCAAGTGGAAGACATCCTGGGTCTAGAAAGCTTAAACAGCAAGCTTAGGTAAGATTGACCAAGAATGGCCAAGAATGGAGGAAAGTTGTGAGGGTTTGGCAATTTGCTCCCACACCCCCAAACTTCCCCCATAGACAGGAGGCAGTGGGCTTTCTGGTAGCAAGGGACAGGTAAGTCCTAGAGATACACTCACAGTGGCATTTCACTTGCCTGCTTGATCCGTGCCAGTAAGGAGCTCTCCCCCTAACTCTGCAAATACAATAGGTTCAGTGTTGAAAGGAACCAGTAGATGTGATTACCAGAATAACATTCAATAAATTGCCCTCTGAAAATGGGAACTGGAAAGTGAGTCCTTTTAACAGCCAGTAACGTTCCGATATGTGGTATTGTCACTTGTTTGTTACCCTGACAAGTAAACGTATATAAGCATATTCAACAGAACTAAATTGTGTTAGGATACGTTGTTGAGCAAATGTTTTAGTTAATTCATTATTTATGCTACTTAATAAAAGTAACTAATCTATGTATATATTAACTTTTTTAGTCACTCATGTACATTTGTAACATTTTGTATAAAAATTACACTAAAATTTTCAAAACTATATGTACAGTATACATTGTATCTAATAGGAATACTTATGTCAGCTGGCAATAACAAACAAGAAGGTATGCAGCTATCATTTAATTATAAGCACTTTCTGGTAAATGGGAGTTATACAGACAATAATATCGGAAAAATAAGACAGGAGATTATTAAGATGCACAAAAGCTTCACCTTTCCTGTTTGTTAATGCATTTGGATTCAGTCTACCTGGTCAATTAAATACAGAAAAATAAAAAAAAAGTTTGAAAATCATGTTTCAGAAAAGTAGGTTTAATGAACTTCCAAATCTTTCAT